TAGGTATATGATGTGGGTCTAAGGGAGGATATTTCAACTCGTTTGTCTTCATTAACGAAAAATGTGTTGGAATAAAGGTATCGATACATGTACATACACCACATATGTGTACCTCAATGTGTACTACATATATGCATCTGTACATATACCACATGTGTGTACCTTGACATGTACTACCTATGTGCAACTGTACATATACCACATGTGTGTATCTCAACATATACTACATATATGCACCTATACATATACCACATGTGTGTACCTTGACATGTACTACATATGTGCATCTGTACATATACCACATGTGTGTATCTCAACATGTACTACATATGTGCATCTGTACATATACTACATGTGTGTACCTCAATATATACTACATGTATGCATCTGTACATATACCACATGTGTGTACCTCAATATATACTACATATATGCATCTGTACATATACTACATGTGTGTATCTCAACGTGTACTACATATATGCATCTCTACATATACCACATGTGTGTACCTTAACATGCACTACATATGCACTTATATGTATAGCACACTAGACCATTACATTATACTCATAATTTACAAAACCAACATTTGTAATCGGTATATTATTAGTAGTAAATATCAATATATTAATACTACGGATTAAAGGGAAGTTGACAAATATGGGATGGTTTTAGTAGCTCATAAATTCAGTCTAAATAAAGGAATATTTCTACATATATCCTTTATTGTGTTTAAATGTATTTAATAATATTTTGGAGTATTTTCATGTATTTTCATTATGAGTCTTGCACGTATTATCACAATTTACAGAGGCACACAATCCCTGCATATTAGAAGCAGTACGTGCTTGATATGGAAAGGCAAGTGCTCTCTAGAATAATGTGTCATGATGATACAATTTCGCATAACAAGATTATTTATTTATATAACACAAGGTTACTTTAATTTTAAGTATTAACTAAGGGTTAAAATATTTCACGGAACATTGACTTTTTTAACATACCTTTTCACGCAAGGAATTTGTATAAAGAAAGATATGACGTTAGCTTTGAAAAAATAAAATTTTAAAGTTATATCTACAAAAAGGGTAATATTAAAATTGTTCCAAATAAAATAAAAGTGTTAGCTATCGTGAAAGAGAAGAGAGTTCGATTGGACTGTTTTATGGAGCCGAAAGTAATAAACTGTGAAAATCTTTGCAAATCGAAATATAAAGTTGTTTTAACTAGAAATATTTGCCGCCCGTTTACCTGTGTTATTTTACCTCTGTAACTTGAATTCAGAGAAACGCGACCTTTGCAAGTCGAAGTTTACCTTTATAAGACAAAGTTTTATCACTGCCACCCCTTCGGGCCGGGGTAATAGGTACAGGAGAGAGTTCTGCAATTCCAAGTTCTTTAACTTTGGTCAGTTTCAGCAAAAATCAAATTTAAAGAAGGTGGTTCGTATAAATGTAGCTTAATAAGGATGGCAAATTGTTTCTCTCAACTTTGCTATAATCTTCATTTCAACCTATATTTCGGGTGTTTCAGTAAAAATAATCCGAATTTATTAAACTCGCATTTTCTGCACTCCTACTCGTAAACGAAATGTCCTCAAATTATAATCGATTTTCTTAAACAATTTTTACTTAAACCAGTTTCATATTCATACATATAACAGTCGAGTAACTTTGTATAATTAGATTTGTTTCTTTCTCTTTTAGAATAAAAAGGAAGGTGGAATTTAGGAGTATGCAATTTTCACAGCAATGCCCTCATTGTTTGAAGCAACATCATATTACACTTGGTATGCTAGTGTTGTGGTCCTTTATGGTCAAAGCACTTCAAATACCGGTCAAGTGAATGTATACGACCTATTTGTAATACAATAACTAAACTCGATATTAATTCAAGCCTTCCGATCTCTATTCATCGACTGGATCGATAATCAGATGTTCATGATGTTATCGATTTCGATTTAATTTCAAAGAGGTCCCATTTTAATTTCATTTCGATATTATTATGTATCGAACAGATTATCTTGTTTGTCTTTATTTGTCGTCAGTGCTATTAGTAAATCAACATGTAAATCAATGAAATTCGTAATACATTGTAAACTCGAACATAATTCGAACATTCAGTGATTACGGAAAAATCCTTCCAAAGTAAATGATCTGAACGAGTATGAAATATGGATCTTCATTTCCATTTTCAAGCGCAAATAATTTTCAATCAAAATGTTACGAAATAACTAAAATAACGAAGCGATTAATCCGTCGATCAATGGAGGATTACCACTCGTTTCTCGCATTTCGATTAACATAATTTAGTCACTCAATTAGAGTGACGTAAATTAATTACAATCGAATGAAATTAATGCGTGGGATCGACGCATCGACGTACCGATTGTTCCAACAGAACGAAAAGTTTAATTTCCGATATTTTCCTGCGAAAGAACTGACTCGTAAGGAGAGCAGACAATGTCTGATAAATTGAGGAACTTTCGTAATTCAACTTTTCGTAAATCGTTACAACTTCTGCCAGCGAAGTACAGTTATTATTTCAGTTCGGATAAAGAACTCAAAAAGACATTAAACGCGATTCTCGGAGATTAACACCGAAGACTTTCACGAAACTTCGGCACAATTAGGAACTACCATACAAAATTAATTTCTTGCTCGTGAAGAGAAATAGATCCGGTAAAATTGTAAGATAAACTTATGACACAGATCGCTTGCAGCGTCTGTTTTGTACAGGGCACATTTAATAACACAAAAACGACGAAAGTGAAAATATGATGCTTTCAGAACTTGTTGTTGGCACTGTCGTTAATTCGTAATTGTAGGTAAGAGGTCACTTACAAGAAGTTTAAGAGAATCATTTGTTTCACCCCATTTACAAGCGGTTATAAGAAAATGTCACTGTACACCGTAATATAGAAAATAATTTATCACGACCGAAGTTAGAATAATTATCCCACGAAATAGCGGTGATCGTGTCACACCTTTGAATTATTTGTTTTGTGCCATATAAGAAGTCACATATGCATCGTTAATTCACAATTAATCACGACATCAAAAATAATATATCATTGAGTATTTTACGATGATCAATTATTTCTAAAGATAACTGTGCCGATCAAATGTGTTTTGAAACAAGAAGACATTTTGGTAAACTAAAATTTGTTTCAGCAAAACTACGTTGTCACGCGTTGTATCGTCACGCATTTATTACAACGCGTTTCACTATCATACGTTGTAATGTCGCGCATTGTATCACCACGTACTACATAGCCACGTGTTATATCACCACTCATGAGTTATATACATTGATGAGTTGCATACATTGATATTATCACACATTTTACGATGGTTATAAACGAAAATAATTATCAATGTTTATCTTATAGAGAATAAGCTTTCAGCAAATAGAGAAGAACAATGTACATAACTTTTGCAAATAAAAGATTACTTTTTAGAGAAACAAGTATGAACTATTAGTATTTGTACCAGTAACAAGTATCAACTATTACACTGTTCATGACATAGTTTCCCTACGGCAATATAACTAGAGTCTATCAGAATATAATTTGAACAATTTTTTCGTCAGTACCGTACGTATTAAACTATCATTTTAACTCCAATTATCTTTGTTTCGGACTTCCCGAAATTTTTTGCAAAAAATTATTCACGTTCAATTAAATTTCACCGAAATTTCCTAATAAATTGCATTGGAGATATAGCTAGTTTAACTGTACTCGATATTTTATTTGCTTTGTACGATCGATACGTACTCGCAGATCCGCGTGCTACTCAACGACTGTTGCGAAGATTCTAATCAAATTTCGAAAAAGAAATTAAACATTCCTGTTAGTCGTTCACGCGTTCCGTTTTTTTCCTTCTCTCACATACTTCCTTCCTCGACCTCTTAAACTCGGAGAAATGTATCCTATAACCGGGTAATTGGAATTTGAAATTTTCATGATTTTATGAGATTCGGTAGGAGCGTGTTTTGTTTAATGAAATTAATACCGCGATTCTAATTTGCTGGAGGAAGACATTCGATGCGAAATAAAATTCAAATATTAATTTCCTTATTCAATCAGTTCAACGTTGGTGAGCTTTCTAAAGATAGATTCTGTAATATCGGTTTATTAAAATAGAAATTAATCTAAAGTCATAAAGCTAAAATTTGGAAATTTTGCAACGAAAATAAAAGATTAAAAACAGCTTTCGATCATAGCATACGTGACTGCCGAATATGCAGAAAAACATGAAAAATTACAGCAATATTTTATACGTCAAGAATGAACATCTAAAAAAAATATTTATAGGTCAAAGAATATGGTATTACAAAACACTGTTGATTAAGTAAAATAATTTATATTAATTTGCTCTTTTCCCCCCTTCCTTTCTATCTATATGTATATAAAAGAAAATTCATTAGTGACTTATAAATTCTCATTATTTATCATCGAAACATTTACTCATATTTCAAAAAGCTGAATATTCGTTCAAATTACTTCTAAAATAAAATATATAATCTCCATTATTGTCTGCTATATTAAATACAAATTGAAATTTTAATTAATCGTTATAACACAGTAGATCGTTATACTATACACGTAAAATGAGAAACAGGAAAAAATACTACATAAAATATCGCACTACTGTCATTCGTATCTCGTCAATTCGGCGGGATATTCAAAAATCTTAACACTATAACAACCGTTGCTACTATATTTCTGACGTTCAAAGTACGCCCTTCTTATTTCTACACAATTAAATACCAAACACAATTTTAAAACGAATAATTTTACAGTGTACCCGAAGCAAAACTTTCAAATATAATTCTGTCAAAAATGTCCTGTTAAAATTACAAAAAAAAAAACGTAGTCTTTGTAATTATAATATATGCAAACTGGAACGTCAAGAAACATAACGTAGCTTAGGATTCAATAATTCCCAGCGCTGTGCTAAAAAATTATAATTAAAATAACACAAATGAAAACTCACCAAGAAAGTTGTCGGCCAAGAAAAACACGAACCTCCTTCGAATGCAACGGTATTCGAACGAAATATCCACTGTGAAACAACAGTCACAAATCCCGTTCGCAGATTGTTCTATTAGCAAGTGGAACAAATTCCGTAATTCGTTACTCGGTGTACGCGTACAGATGCATCCCCTCGCGTGTATTGTCACGCGCACCCACAGACAATTATGGGATATTTTACCGTTCGAGCACGCGTTTACGACGAAATATCAAGGAATTTATAAAAACATTTCGAAAGGCAATTATAGTAGATAGGGACAAATAGAAATGTTTCGAAAGGGCACACGGAGTTGATCCAACCACGTTGACAGTCTAAGCGGTACTGCGAGGCTCGCGACGACCCGGCATCCCCCACCACCATCGACCCGGACCACATCAACCAATCGGAGACGTGGATTCACAGCCGTTTAAACTACTTCCGTTGGATCTACTGGCAGCCGATGTCAGTATCGCAAAGGGGTGGAAAGCACTGACGCCACTTTTGGCGGTCTCACGTGTTGCTTCGCTGTAAACACCGATGATGGGAATTTCATCGAATTACTCCGAAATGTGCCGTCAATTTTCGAGCCTCTGATGCGCGGAAAATTGTCGATTAGAAACGCCATAACGTTCATTTTATATGATTAAAATGCCCGCAGACAAAACATGCAAAATATAAAACGGTGCAGTCTGACACCCTTATGGATTAACTTCTTCATCAGTTCAGTATTGTAACATGTTTATGAATATTCATTTTAAAGTTAAAGCAGTTGGTTTATGTATATCAGATTTGCGTGCTTTTTTACATGCGTATGATTTGGCAATGATCGAGTTTTTAAATTTAGACAGTTTTGAATTTTCAAGCTTCGAATTTAGGAATTCGAAGAATTAAACGTTGGACGATTTGATAAGATTTCATTGATTACTTTTACGTTAATATTTTGTGTACGATATGATAGATTGATACTTAAATTTTAAATGATCATTGAAATCGTAATTTACCAAAATTTTCGATACAATGTAAGAAATTTTGAAAACTGTAATTTGTAATATAATTGTAATATACAGCATCATATACCAGTAACCGTACTATAATTACGATATTATTTTCAAGTATTTAATCTCTTTGTTCGGAATACAAAGAACAAATGCGGTGATATTTTTTGCCTACTTGTCAAATGTAAGAGTTAATAAAAGCATTATGAATATAACCAAATAAAATTAAACAACTGAAAATGCGGCGAAGAGAATATAATAAAAAGCAAATAAAATCAAACCCACCCTCCAGTTTTCTCTGATTTATTTTATTATTTTGTATGTTGATTTTTTATCGTCCAGTATAAAACATTTAAACCTTGAAAGATTAATATTGAATAAAATTTTACGAACAATGTTGTTTTATTATATTTATGTTCATATATAGAATTTCGATAATTTAACATAAAAGTTTACGACCAGAGACTGTGGCGAATTGGAACGATTAAAATGCTTGCCAGCTTCGCTTAATCAATAATTTAAAAAAATTCGATGTTCAGGACATCTGAAGAACCTTCCCCTGTCATTGCCATTGGGGATGCTTCTCATGGCCCCCTTTTCATGTACACTACCGTCCATAAGTATCCGGACACAAGCGAAATATGCATTCGCGTTGCATGAAAGTTATTCAAGTATCTACAACAGTAACTAAAGTCGATTCTTTTTTCTGTGAAGGTCAGAATACTGGAACGTTTTTCGATTGAAAATTCTCGTTTGGAACTCATATCTCGATGGAAAAGAAGCTACAGACGAACTAAACCGAAACTGTCGAGTGCATTGCGTTACCTTCATTCTTATCTCCATTGAGGGAACCTAAACATCTACCAACAGTTTACAAACACTTGAAACATATCGAAGAACCCTCTGAATACGTTCTGCACCATAGAAATGAAACACAGTAGAAATTAAAATTTTTTTTAGAATCGAAAGCGTTTCATTAGATTCACAAATTTGGACTTTGTACTTCTGGACATGAATTTTACTTTCACACTTTCATTGTATAATTTGTACTTAAAAATTAATTCTATTACGTTATGACACCTCAAAAAAGATAACAATAATTATTACAAATGATATGATAACCCTAATCAATCTTTGTGCTTTTTGTACAAAGTTCAACTGTGTTTTATGTAACGAAACCAAGTGTCCGGATACTTATGGACGGTAGTGTATATGTCGTGGGAGAAAAAAGAGGATTTGGGTAGCGTCACGATATTTCTGTGATGGATATCCGGCACGACACAACCAACAAAACGACGATATTCACTGAGAAGGCATGTTCAAAAAAGGGCAATTACAATAAATACAAGTATGATACTTTTGCATCAACATTAGGTTTTTCGAATCGGTTCACTGATGTTCAGTAAACAATATCACTGATCAACATATATCAACATATTGCATTTTATATTACGCTATCTTATCAAAATCTATGTCTACGATATTATTTATGAATTACCAAACTTACAATTCTTCTAAAAGATAAATGATGTGGAATTAAAATTTTCTGTTACAAAATATCAGAAAATACTGCATCATTATAGTCATTCATCCAGAAAAAATGATAAAAATATATTTTAAATTATAAATGACAGAAATACTGTGAAGATATCATCGTGTTGTATGTTATAAAAGAATAAAAATGAATTATTATTAATAAATAATAAAATTATAGAATTTGATTACTGAGTGTATTCGAACCGTTTATCCTATTATCTAGAATGAAAAAGCGAAGCTTATTTTTATCCTTGGAGACATGACTATGATCTTGTGAAGTAAATCAAGTGCATAACTTGCTCGCTTCTGATATTCTCGCTCGACATGGAAACAACGGATTATCTGTTTTCCTCCCGTTTATACACATGCTTTATAACGCGGGATTATCGTCACGTCTCACCAGACAATTGTTAGTTACATATGCTGTGTAAATAATTATCCAGAGCTGTCATAAAGTTTCCACGGTACCTTAGGATTTTAATACCAATCTCGGAATTCCGATTTCGATGCTATGTTGCAGATTGCATTATTTATTTTATGCAGGATTCCCTGCATATTTATGACCTAAACTTTCGATGAAGATAATTTTTCTCGAATCATTTGTTTAATTCTCAAGTCTCGTAATTCTCAGGTATGAAATTTACGAAGTTTTAAAATTACGAAATCTCAAAGTTATATGTTCTAAGATTGAAAAATTGCAAAGTTGCATAGTCCCAAAATCCCAAAATTTTTAAATCCTAAAATTTCGAAGTTCCTAAATCTCCAAATTCCTATATCCCTAAATCCCTAAATCCTCAAGTCCCTAAATCCCTAAATTCCTAAATTCCTAAATCCCTAAATTCCCAAGTCCCTAAATCCCTAAATCCCTCAACCATATATCCCCAAATCCCTAAATCCCTAAATCCCTAAATCCCCAAGTCCCTAAATCCCTAAATCCCCAAGACCCTAAATCCCCAAGTCCCTAAATCCCCAAGTCTCTAAATCCCTAAATTCCTAAATTCCTAAATCCCTAAACTCCTAAATCCCTAAATCCCTAAACCTCTAAATTCTAAAATTAAAAAATTCCGAAATTACAAACCCATTCCAAAAATATAAGCAAAAGTAAAGAACGAATGTTATTTGATTTCAACCCTTTTGTGACTGGTGGAATACACGTATCTTATTTATCTTCCCTTGCCTTTATACTTTATACCTAGGGGAACGATAAAAATCCAATTTTTGTGTGTGCTACTATCTGGTCGAATGTTCAGGTATTGCTTCTGGCGAACCATTTATAAAAATACTGAAAAACATCTCATGGCAGCTTTCTTATTCCAAGCTATTCACACCTAGTGGCTACAATATGTTCACATACATATTCGATAAGAATATAACGAATATCGAAACACGTTCATACAAAACACTATTACAAAACTAAATTTGTTAACAATTATAAAAGATATTTAGTATAATGTCGTATTGAATTGTAGAATTAATAACGTGGAGCGGAAACACTTGTTCAAGTACCTAATGAACGCGAATTTATCGTCACACTTGTATAAAGTGAGAGTAGGATTCATACAAGATATACCTTTCTTTTAAAGTGCTTTAATCCTTAACGTCAGATATACTACGGGAAACGAGATAATATTAGCGGAGGATCTTGCGCTTTGGTTCAAAAAGGATATAATGAAAAGTCAAGTAACTTTGTTACAATATTTTGATTAAAGGATTCTTTCAACTTACTTGCTAACGCAATACTGATGTAATTATCAAAAAGATATACCTTTGTTGATTTGAGCCGATGTGGACATATTCGGACCGATTCTGATTGATCTGAATTCCATTGAACCGATGTGGACATATTCGGACCGATTCTGATTAATCTGAATTCCATTTGAACCGATGTGGACATGTTCGGATCGATTCTGATCGATCTCAACCGATTTGAACCGATGTGGACATATTCGGACCGATTCTGATTGATCTGAATCCATTTGAACCGATGTGGACATGTTCGGACCGATTCTGATCGATCT